TGAACAACAGATACTTTTTCAGTATAAGTATACCCCAAATATCACATGGGATACACTTGCATTACAACCACTGTTGTTTATCTGAAATTCCAATTTAAGTGGGCGTGCTGTATTTTAACTGGTAGTCCTTCTTGGTCACTTGGCAGTAGTTGGGCTTACTTTTCCTTTTTCCTCAGTCCCTGTACTGTCAGGAGCAAGGCCCCCCCGCCCCCAACAAAAGCCCACACCCAGGCCAGAGCTCCTCTCAGCCGCCACCACCAAGAACCTCCTGGATTCTCTCTTCTCACCTCCAAGATGGCGACCTCTTGTCGGTTGCGCAGAATCCTGAAGGCAAATGGATGTCTGGGCCCAAAGCCTGGGGCCACCTCACAGCCATGGAGAGTAATGGCATTCACATGGGTCCGCAGGTCTGTGTGGTCCTTGTGGAAGTACAGGGTGTTGCATTTCAGGCGACACCAGCGTTCCCTCCAGCCTTGGCTCACCAACACGTTCAGATAGCCTGGGAGGGGAAGACCAGTGGGTATGACCTCCTGACAACCCGGCCCTGGGGAAACCCAAGGTGGGGGCTCTGAGTCAGGTTCCTGGGTCTATATCCTGTGGACGAAGTGCCTGGACAATCCTCATTCTCTAGCTGGAAAAAGGAACCTCGCGGGTCCAGGATCCGCTCACTTTCTCTGGGCCTGTGACCCCCGGTACCCTCTTCTCCTGAGTTTCATTTCCCTACATGAAATAAGGATTGATACTCACGTTCCCATACTGCTACACGGCCTTTGTACCACACTGAGCTTGGTGAAAAGGGCAGGGACTATTGTATGGGTGAATAAAAGACACAACTTTCCTCCTCTCAAAATACCAGAGCTATTAAGGAGACAGAAAATAATGGGTGATGCTGACACCTGCTGGCAGCATGTGGGAACAAAACTAGCCAAGAGAAGAGGCTGGTGACCAACAGGTTTAAGAATTCCCTCTTAGGGGCGCCTGGGTGGCTCAGTCGGTTGGGCATCCGACCTCAGGTCACGATCTCACGGTTCGTGAGTTTGAGCCCTGTGTCGGGCTCTGGGCTGATGGCTCAGAGCCTGGAGCCTGCTTCCGATTCTGTGTCTCCCTCTCTCTCTGCCCCTCCCCCGTTCATGCTCTGTCTCTGTCTAAAAAAAAAAAAAAAAAAAAAAAAAAAAAAAAAAGAATTCCCTCTTAACATTTTAGGTTTCAATCAATTTTCCCCCAGTAACATGCCCTGATTCACTGGTTACAAAATATTTCTTTATAGCCATGTGCTTTTATAATATTTTTTTCAAGTTTAATGGAATATTACCGCATATCCAAAATACAGAATTTTCTGTTGGATTCCAGTACATGGAACATTGCATTAACGTGAACAGACTAATATGTCTTCCCTTCCAAACCATATCTAACTCACACTGAATGCATTTATTTATTTATAAATGTTTTATTTATTTTTGAGAGAGAGAGCAGGGGGAGGGGCAGAGAGGGAGGGGGACAGAGAACCCAAAGTGGGTTTTGCACTGAGAGCAAATGCAGAACTCATGACCTGAGCTAAAGTCAGACGATCACCTGACTGAGCCACCCAGGTGCCATTTGAATGCACTTATAATAAAAGTACTTAAAGATTTTTATCCAAGAAATTTCCTTATAAGACTGGGTCAGGGCGCCTGGGTGGCTCAGTCTGTTGTGTCTGACTTCAGCTCAGGTCATGATCTCACGGTTTGTGGGTTCAAGCCCCATATCCGGCTCTGTGCTGGCAGCTCAGAGCCTGGAGCCTTCTTCAGATTCTGTGTCTCCCTCTCTGCCCCTCCCCTGCTCGCATTCTCTCTCTCTCTCTCTCTCTCTCTCTCAAAAAAAGACTGGTTCGTAACTTACACACCCGGCATGTTACGTGCCAAGAGGAAATAAGATACTCTCCCTCCATCACGGTGTAGGAAACTGAGGCCCAGAGGCAGGTGGTGATTGCAGCTAAGGTCACAGGGAACACAGAAATGGGGGGTCAGTTGGCTTTTCCTTCTGCTGAGTGTCGTGGAAAGGCATGGAATGTTGATGCCGTGGGGGTTAGGTAGGATTCTCTCCTCTGCCTTGGGGGCAAGGTGGAGGAGGCTCAGAGGGTTTTCTGGCTTAGCCCAGGGGTCCACAGCAGCAGGGTCTGAACATCCTCCTCCTGGTGCCCAGGACCCACCACAGCACGGGACCTCCTGGTCGGGGCAGGATGTCTGTAGGCCATCAGCCAGCGGCTTCTTCTTGGAGAAGCTGATGATGCGGGTGATCTTGCGGCCTGCAGCCCTGCTCATTGAACCCTTCAGCTCTGCCAGACTGCTCTTCTTCCCTTTGCCTGTTGCCATGGAGATGGGTTAGGGGAAGGGAGGGAGCCCCAAGTCCCCGATCCACCCACCCCGGCCTTCCCAGCAGCCCTTTCAGCCCGCACATGGGGCCTGGCTGTGGCTGCAGGTGCGGACGGAGCAGGTCACCCTACCCAGATCTCCAGGGTGGCCAGGACCTGCTCCGCGCTGTGTGCCCAGGCAGGACCCCTCCCGGCTCTGGCATCCTCCAGCCTGAACCCCCAGAGGCTCCTACCATGGTCGCAGGCCTCCCGGCGGCCCAGAGTGGAACAGTTATCACCCATGCCCAGGCTGTCCGAGTCTGAGGTCTGCTTCTCTTGAGACAGTCTCTGGGGAGGGACACAGACAGTCCCATGTCAGAGGGCACACTCAGAGGTTCCCCTTTGTTGGTTCAATCCCCCCAACCTCTGCACATGATGATTGCCTAACAAATATTTGTCAGCAACTCTCACGTCCTGACACTATGCCAGGTATGGGGAAGACAATGCTGACTTAGAATGGTCGTGTCTTCGAATCTCTCACAGCCTGTTTGGGGAGCCAGACAATTAGGTGTAATAAATTCCCAGGGTTTTCCATATTTGGCATTTAAGTGGGAAGGTATTTAAGTGGGATACTGATGTAATGCAACTGGTTTAGGGAGTGATCGCCAGTGGCATAGTGGGGACAGACTGTAAGGGAAAGAGCCACATAAGACAGTGTCGTCCTGGGCAAGGTCAGACGCGGGAAAGGGAGGCGGTAAGATGACAGGATGTAGAGAAAGGGACGGGTTGGCATGTTCAGAATAGTTAGGGACCAGGAGATATCAGTGGTGACAAGAGAGGGGTCGTTAGTCATGAGAATGTGGGAAAATCCTTTCCTCTCCCCAAGGCTCTGTTTTCTCACCTGAGGCACACCCTCCCCAGGGAGCCGGCCCAAGTGCAATGGCAAGGCCAACAGACAACAGACCGAATCACTTCTAACACTTCCGCAAAGTGCTGCCCTCTTGCTCTAAAAAGCTCAACTGTGCCAGCCAGACTTGGGACAGGATTGAAACAGCACCAACCCATTTAAAAAGAATTACAGAGCTCTGAGGCCTCTCCACCTTTCCTGCCAACGACTTCCCAGACCAGGCTCAGGGATGCTTTGCTATATGCACGGAACTTGGGGGCAGGGGGAGATAGGAGAGGCCATGCGCTCCCCCCGATTTCCAAAGGCTGGAAACATGGCAACGGCCAGAATTGGGCCAGATCTGTCAAAAGCATAATGGATCTCCCCTACAGGGAGAGAAACAAGTGTGAAACAAGTTATTTGTTTCTATTTGTTCTGCAGTGGTACGGGTGGTTAAGTTTTTCATCAAGATAGAAGGCAAATACAAAACACATTCTGAACACTTTGGAACTGACTTAATGACGGTGACACTTCACGTACAAGACTCCATGGAGAGACAGAGCCACCGATACCATGTCCCCACTCCAAACACACCCCCCTAAATATTTGAGCTGCCCTCCCCCTATACGCTCGGCCCCAGGAACATTCCTCTGCACACGCCCGGGACCGAACCACGGCACGCACCTGCAGGTGCGTATATGCGTCTACACGTTTACGCAGTCAATGTTGCTTTCCTTCAGGCCCTACTAACGGCAAGGGCCAAGTGAGGGTAGGGTTGCACTTCTCCAGCATCTGCCTGGCATGAGAGCCCCCTACCTGTCCTCTCTTAGGGACTACATGCTGACCCTGCAGCTTTGCTTCCACTGTGCCCCAGCAGCCCCTGTCCCTTGGCCCACCTCTGCCCCCATACAGTGTCGCCCTTCCTTACTAGCTGTTCACTCTCACAAATGTGCTCTCTCGGAGAAGCTTCCCTGACGCCTGAGACAGGAGCAGGCCCTTGGGTACCTGGTACTCTTCACTCCCAGCACTCCCGCAGCCCAGCATTCGCGTCTGCCCCGCCCTGGGGAGCGCAGCGTGTGTCTCTGTCAGGATGGCTCTTGTGCACCTGCCGCACGGCGCTCCCGGCCTGCTCCCCGAGCAGAGCTCAGTCTGCCCCTCCGTGAGCGATGGGATGGCGAAACCATCAAGAGCCAGGTGTCTGGGGGGTATATACATCCTTGCTCTGTTTCTTACTGACTCTGCGACTTTGGGCAAACCTCTCTGTGCCTCAGCTTCCTCCTCTGAAAATGTGACTCATCAAAGAGTTGTTGTGGAAATTAAATTAGGCCATTCATGTAAAGCATCAGAGATGCTGTCGGCCACACAGTCATACTCTATGAATACTAACCTTTATTATATCATGTGAGCCCCGTGTGTGTGGGTTTGGGGCTGAGTCCCTTCATCACCCACCAGCACCTGGCAAAGCAAAGGCACTAGGCACATACTTTCCGACTGCCTGAGCAATCGCTAAATGACCGCCTCGCTTGCGTCCCATCGGGCCACACTCTTCTGACAGTTCCCAATTTGCTTTAAATGGCTCCGGTCAACTGCGACTTCCTCCTGTCCTGGCGGTGTTAGTTACTCCCTCCTCTGGCTCACACTGCACCCTGGACATGGGCATTCGTTCATTCGTGCGTTCATCAATTCAGTAGACGTTTATTGATACGCTGAGGTGCCAGCTCTATGGCTTGGCTTCACCACCAGCCTGTGAATTTCCCCGGGGGCACAGCCCCTGTTGAGTCACCACTACCTGGCACAGAGGAGGCCTCGTGGAGACAGATGTACCTTGTCTAGGTCCAGCTTGCACACGAGGACTGGGGATCTGGGCATGTCTGCCCCCTCTGTGCCCCCGGCAGGCCTGCTCACCTCTCGGATGACCTGTGGAGAGGACACACAGCTGTGAGCAGGTGGGCAGAGATACTGTGGAGGCAGCAGGAATGGGTCAATGTGGCCTCCCGCCACACGTATGGGGCCCATCAGGGTTTAAACACGGCTTTCTCCTGTGTCTACCCGTTGAATCGAAAAGTCAGGGGGCTGGGAAACAAGAGGCGTGGCTTCTAGACCTGGCTCCGTTGCTAATTAGTTGTGTGGCTTTGCGAAAGCCATTTTCTCCTCTGGGCCTCGCCTTCCCTGTCTGTAACATGGGGATAATACTGGCCCTCTGCTTACGTCCTTGGGTTGCCTGAGGACCAGTGCGATCGTGGGTGTGAAGGGCCATGTGAACCAGGACGCCCTGCACAAGCGTGAGGTACTGTCTTCTGTGACCGTGCGGAACCTCCGCATCAGCCTGTAGGGTGGCCGGGGCCGTCTCCTCCATTTTGAAGATGTGGGAGCTGAGATTCCATGGCATTCACATGACCTGAGCATGAAATCAGATTGGCCGCCGCTGGTTGCTCACCAATCCGTGGCTTTACGTGGGTTATCCCACTGTATCCCCATAGCAGCCTTGAGGAGCAGGGACAAGTGGGATCCCCATGTCACAGATTAGGATGATGGGGCTCTGAGAATGAAGCCATGGTTGCCTGACCTTAACCTCTGGACTAATGACCTGCCAGCATCGGGATGTCAAGACTGTCCCCAGTCCAGGCTCAGTCTTTAGTCTCAATCTCCAGTCTAGGGCTCCTTCTGCTGACCCACCCGGCCCCTGGAGGGCAGAGTCTCCCCCAGAAAGCAGGTTCTCTCACTTCCTTCCCCTCCTGAGACAAAGATAATGAGCAACACTAAACATCCCAGGGGAGAGCTGGTTGTCACAGGAAGGAAGGGAGGCTAGGGAGGGAGGAAGGTGTCTGGTTGCTTTGTTTCAGCAGGAAGATCAGAGGAAAAGGCAGAAAGGTGTCAGAGTGAAAGAGGGGCAGGGTGCAGGGACATGGCCGGCGGTAAGGGACTGGGGATAGGGGCCCCACCACCACCCCACAGTGATCATTCACAGTTACTAAGTACTTCCTGCCTAGGGGGCACCCTATTAAATGCTCTCTAGAATCTTTACAAGAACCATTTTACAGAAGAGCAAACTGAGGCACAGATAGGCAAAGTCATTTGCAGAAGATCACATAGCCAGTAAGTGCCACTTAGGCCTGGGACTTGAACTCAAGTCCGTGCGCCACCAGAGTCCTCCCCTGTCATCACTATGGCACCCTGCCTATGGCCGTTGGAGGAGATTTCCTTGTCAGCTTCTAATCCTGGCTCAAACCACTCGGTTGTGTGACCTTTGGCAAGTCACGTCAGATTCCTGTGTCTCAGTTTCCTCATCTGTACAATGGGAACGATAATAGTCCTATTGCAAACAGTAAATGAGGTCATGGATGTGAAGCTCTTAGCGCAACACATGGCACGAAGTTAAGTGCTCAGCATAAGGTAACTCTAATTGTTCTGCAGTCAGAGGCAAGATGCAGAAGCCGGACCACAGGTGGAGGTTGCAAGCATGCACATTTCACCTAAGACAGGAAGGAGTTTTCCTGTTTTTTGTTTTTATTTCTTATTTTTATTTTTTTTAAGGATTAGCTTTATCCACTGATAAAATTAGCTTCCTTTAAAGATATCAAGCTCCCCATTCCAGGAGGTACACATGTGCAGCCTGGACAAGCCCACAGTAAGGGTGTCAGAAAGAGGATTCAAGTAACTAGAAGGAAGGCAGGACTCCAGCCTGGGGTCTGTCTCCTGGAGATGTCTGAGCCCACTTCCACGAGTAAGCCCTCGCCATGCACAGGTCGCCGATCACCACCCCTCCCCTGAGCAAGGCCTGCTCTCCCAGGGATGAGAGCCCACTGTGCTGAGAGCCGGGCCTGGGAAGAGAGGAAGGAGGGGCGGGAGGGGTGGGGCAGAGAGGGCACAGTACCTTGAGCCACTCCTCGGCTTGCTCCCGGCTCTGTAGTGCCAGCACCAGCACCTCGGTAGCCCCCTGGGAGAAGCGCAGCTCATGCCTCTTGTGCCGGCTGTCCTTGGGCACGTAGATGACGCTGCAGATATCCAGCGCTAGCCTCAGATGTGGCTGCCGGTCCTTGGAGCTTTTGTAGCACTGGGCAGGAAGAGACGGGGTCACCCTTCTGGAGGGGAGGGCGGAGGAGGACTTGGGGGAGCTCGACCTACCCCACAGAGACCTCCCCCACCAAGCCCAGCTGTGGGCACTGCATGAAGACAGAGGCTGTGGCTATTCATTCCAGAGAAGAGTAGTCTGGAAAGGGGGCATTTTTGGACAATCTTCAGATCGCAAGGGCTACTGCAGGGCCCCAGGGGCACAACCACCCATCAGGAAGAGGCAGATTTTAGCATAAAACTAGGTAGACCATTCTAGTCTAAAGAACCAGAGAAGACACAGCCTGGCTCGGAAGGAAGCCAGCTCCGTGCTCCTAATGGGCTACCTAGCAGGAATGTGGGAGAGAGAATTCTAGGCGCGATGGAAGACTGGGCTTGGTTTATCAATAGTTTATCAATGATTATCACTTCCCAATTCTTATTATGAAGCCAGCATTACCTTGATACTGAGACCTGACAATGACATTCCAAAAAAGAAAAATGATAAGCTCATCTCAACCTGGTTGCAAAAGCCCTACAAAAAAATTAGCAAATGGAATCTGACACATATAAAAAGCATACTGTATCAAGACTTTATTTATTCTTTATTTATTCTGGGATTGCAAGAGTGCACTAGCCTTTAAAAACCAACACTATAATTCATCATATAAGTAGAAAAAAAAGAAAAGCCACATCTATCAATAGACACAGAATAGGCATTTGATAAAATTCCCCACCCATCTGTAGTATAAATGAGCAAACTAGACCTACAGAGGGGGGACTTCCTTAATGTGATAATAAAGACCTTCTACAGACCTGTCAGAGCAAATATCAGCCTTAATAGTGAACTTTGTAACTCTCGCTTTGAGCTCTGGACTGAGACAAGGGCGCCTGCTCTTCCACTGACATTTACATTGTGTTGGAGATCCTAACCAATGCAATATGTCAAGAAAAAAAATGGCCTAAGGAGTGGGAAGAAGGGTCATGACCTTGGGACTGGTTCTGGCCTGGGGTGAGCTTCTCACTGCTCCAGGATGAAAAAAATGTCATGTTTCAAATGAGTATCTGTTGGGCAAGGCTTGTCAACAGACTTGGGGTTAAACAGCTATGAATATTTTTGAATTATGTCCGCATTCCTACTCTGGAATTAAAGGCACATTTTCTTTTACGAAATGATGGCAAATTAAAAAAAAAAAACTAAGAAAGCAAGTTCCATTGTAAGTGCTGCATGGGCTCAGTTTTAGAAAAGACAGATGTATGGAAATGAGGGTGGAAATATGTATATTAAAACTTAACAGTGGTTAGCCCTTGATCAATGGGATTGTAGGTGGCTTTTGAAAAATGGTTTTCATCATGTTTTTCTCTAGTTTTATAAATGAACACATTTACTTGCCTAATGAAAACAACAAACATTGTTTTAAAGTGACTGGGGTGCCTGGGTGGCTCAGTCAGTTAAGTGTCTGACTCTTGATTTTGGCTCAGGTCATGATCTCACGGTTCATAGGTTCTAGCCCCTACGTCTAGCTCTGTGCTGACAGTATGGAAGCTGCTTGGGATTCTTTCTCTCTCTGCCTCTCCTGTGCTCATGCTCTTTTTCTCTCTTTCTCTCTCTCTCTCCCCCCCCCAATCCCCTGCTTGTACACTTTCCCTCTGTCTCTAAAAAAAAATAAAATAATTTTAAGTGATAAAAAATTCATTCCTGGCAAAACAAAACTTGGCAACGTCTTTATCAGGTCTTTGAATGTGTGTGTGTGTGTGTGTGTGTGTGTTTCCATTCTGCTCTAGTGGGAGAGCCTCTGTGCACAAAGCAAGCCCAGAGGAACTGAGGCAGACATGCCTGCACACACACACACACACACACACACACACACACACACACACGTAAGGCCACGTGAGGCCCAGAGGCACATATCCGCAGCCACTCACCAGGAGCTGGTCCTCCTTGATGACGGTCAGCTGCTTGGCCCATTGCCCGAAGCGCTTTTTCCGCAGCAGGAAGGCACATATCCTGCAGTCCCTCACCAGGTGCATGGAGGCCTCCTCCGAGGGCCACTGGTGCGTGGGCTGTGGCCCTTTCCCTTCCTCCTCCTCCTCGTCGTAGGACTCGTAGGAGCTGCTCATTGCGTCAGAGTCGTTGTCTGCAGGAACCACAGGAAAGGACCCGCTACTGTGTCATTGCCTGGGAGGCACCTCCATACCCTTGTGCAGATGTCCTTGCCCCGGGGTCCCGGGACCAGGAGGGGGTGGGCGTGAGGTGTGATCGTGGTGATCGCTAACCCCCGCATGGGCACCATGCTGTATAGATTTACCACTGGCCTTGCGATCTCGGTGACTTCACTTCTCAGAGTCCAGGTTTCTTATCGGTAACATGGTCATAATGAAGGACAGTATCTACCTCATCCGGCTGTGAGCACCAGTGAATGCAGAGCGTTCAGCCCAGTGCCTGGCACTCGGCGGGCACTCAGTGAACATCGGCTACTGTCATTACCCCAACAGCTTCACATCCACAATCTCAAGGGACTCTCACAGCACCCGCAAATCCCCAATTTATACAGAAGGCAACTGGAGGCTCAAAGAGAATAAATGACTCATTCGAGGTCAGTCACCAAGGATCAGGGCGAGGGTTAGATCCAGGGCTCCTGACTCCCATACCAGTGGTCCTTCCACTGAACCCTGGAGTCACGGAGTACCAGGGCTTGGGGCTTCTGTGGTGACCCAGAGGGGCTGGCACACACGTGTATCCCAAGGATCAGGTCAGGCCTGCTCTCTGAGGACAGAACCCTTCTAAATACCTGCCCCATACTTACAGGAGTTCTTTAGCTCCCCATTCATCCTGGTCGCAGGGTAGCTGCTATCTGCATCCTCGTAGTAACCGTCCATGATGGAGTGGGCTGGGCTGCAGCTATCTGTGGGGTTGGTGGAGGGAGCAGCACCTTGGAGAGAGACAGGCAGACTGCAGGGGCTGTGGCTGGGGAAGACCCCAGACACCCTGGCCCTGCTTGGGGAAGAGACAGTGCAGCTCCCCGCAGCTCCCTGGCCATGGTGAGGGGCCTTCTCTCTGCTCTAGCTCCCCACATGCTCTCTGTGCTCCTGTGACCAGGAGCTGCCCTGCTGGGCCCTGTCACACCTCCAGGCTGTGTTCACGCTATTCTGTGTGCTGTCTTAGCTTTTGCTAGAGAACTCCTACTCATCCTTCAATACCCAGATCAAAGATCTTTCTTCTGACCTTCTCGGGCAGAGAATAGTCAGCCCCTCCTCAGTGATCCCACATTGGTGTGTGTGTGTGTGTGTGTGTGTGTGTGTGTGTGTGTGTATCTTGGTCATGGCTCTGATCCCTGTACGGCAAGGAGTGGTGCTCCAGCTGCCTGGGCTTAGCCCCCCTTGTCTTCTGTCACCTCAGTCCTTCCACTCCCCTCCTGATGCATATGCTTGCTCCCTCTGGTGAAAGCGATTCTCCTAAACCTCTGTGGCTATACCCACGGAGGAACTGGACTAAAGAAGATAATGGTAGTGCTTGCAACAGTGACCACAACAGCTGTCTACGTGGAGTTTTCCCAGCACATTCCCACTGAGCTGGCAGCACAGCGCAGGGGTGGGGGCTATCTTAAACTGTATTCTGCATCGGAACTACCGGGGTCTCTTTAAAATGCAGATGCCCGGGCTGTACCCCCAGAGATTCTGATTCACTGTGTGGGCTGAGCTGAGGAATCTGCATTTTTTTTAAAAAAGCCTATTTAATAGGGCATTACAAAACATGGAAAAATAAAAACTATACGGAAGTTCAAGAAATCGGATTTTTTTTTTCAACAGTTAAGATTATTTTGATCCAGATGGTCACTGGGGCATGCTCTGAAGGCCAGTGGGTTAAGGGCACGTGCTTTGGGTTGGATCAGATTTGAGATCAAATTTGTCGCCACCATTTGTTTAGTGCCCTTGGGGGGAAAATCCCACAGTTTCTCTGCATTTCAGGGTCTTCACCCTAAAGTGATGTGAACAGTGCCCACCTTGGACAAGTGATAAAATGCATATAAGCTCTTAGCACAGTGCCTGGCACACAGAATGTGCTAGACGGATGCTAGATGTCATTATTATTTTCACCTCCTTTGATTCCCATAATGCAGGGAGATAGGTATCAGCCCCATTTTACAGATGAGGAAACTGAGGCTCCACACAGTTTGCTAGTGACAGAGCCTGGATAAGAACTGAGGTTGCCCACTCAGGGAATAGGGGCACATACCCTCTTCCAGGAAGCCTTCCTTCTTCACCCAGTACAACTGGCCGTCAAACCACACTGTTCTGCAACGTGCTGCTCTGGGCTCCCAGCCCCTACCATCCATCTGTTTCCTGAGAACAGCAGCACTCGAATTCCCAGCAACTGGGATACCCAGTGCTAGCTCCCAAGTGATGGCCCCAGCCTGCCCTTCCCAGCAGGCTCTCTGAAGCCTCAGATGCTGGCAACATCCTGTGAGGTGGATGGTGGGGGGAGGTGTGACGGGGAAGAGGGAGGGGACACCCGGGGCAGTGCTCTTGAACACCTGGCAGGGCTGGACATCGGGTCAGAGGAAGGATATTCCCTGATGGGCTTGGCGCCCTCTCCCTGGTCAAGCTCCCTGACCCTTCCTGAGGCCCGCCCTTCCCTCCTGCCCCAGGATCCCTGCTGCCTCATCTGAGGGGAGCCATGAGCTCCCTGGGGAGGTGGAGGGGCTTCACCCAGCTGAGGGGCTTGACCTGGGATTCAGGGCCCGGCAGCGCTTTGTCTCCACCCTCCTCCCCTGTCCTCAAGTGGAGAACAGAACAAAGTCACCTGCTTCCCATACAAACCGCCGCTTGGAGCCCCACAGACACCAAGAATCTCAAGGCTGAAGACAGCCACTGATCCCCTGGTCCAACCCCAGCACTCCACTCTGCTTTAACTAGTTTATTAGTGGTGAAAATAATATACCGCAGTAGCCCAGAGGTGGAGAGAACCCAGGCGTCCATCAACTGATGAAAGACTAAACAAAACGTGGTCTCTCCCTACACTGGAATATTACTTGGCCATAAAGAGCAAATGAGGGCTGGTACACGCAGTGACGCAGATTAACCTTGGGAACACTACGCTAAAGGGAAATGAGCCAGACGCAAAAGGCCACACATTGTATGATGCTATTCACGTGAAATATTCAGAATAGGCAAATCCACAGGGGCGGAAAGCAGACTGGTGGTTGCCAGGGGCGCAGGGGGAAGGCGAACAAGAACGACTGCTTAACGGGGATGGCGTTTCCTCTTTGAGTGATGAAAAGGTGTGGGAACTGGCTGCACAGTCCTGTGAATGTACTAAATGCCACTGATTGCACACCCGTCAAATGGTTGACATGGTCCATTTCACGTTATGTGTATTTTGTTACAATACAGAAAATATGCCCAGGGTGAAAAGCACAATCAGTACAAAAGAGTATGAATGGGAAAGTATGTTCCCTTCACCCAGATTTCCATTCAATTCCCACAGGGGAATGCTGTTGACAGTTTCTTGCATATCCCAGGAGAGTCATTTAAATGAATGCAGATGGGGCGCCTGGGTGGCTCAGTCGGTTGAGCGTCCGACTTCAGCCCAGGTCACGATCTCACGGTTCGTGAGTTCGAGCCCCGCGTCAGGCTCTGGGCTGATGACTCAGAGCCTGGAGCCTGCTTCCGATTCTGTGTCTCCCTCTCTCTCTGCCCCTCCCCCATTCATGCTCTGTCTCTCTCTGTCTCAAAAATAAATAAATATTAAAAAAAATTTTTAAATGAATGCAGGGATGTGTGTATCCCATCAAGGAACAAATGGAATCCTATTAAATGCAGTATTCTGCAGCGTTTGAATATTTTTCAGTGGCTGCATCTTGGAATTCATTTCTGATTGGCACAGACAGACCTATTTTATTTATTTTTTGGCGGTTGGAAGATATTCCACTGAGCTACTGAATGACAGGATAGCATCGCATAAACATTATCTCATACAAGTTCAATTACGAATGCTGGGGCACACAAAGACCAGGATAGAGTCTCTTGTGTGTCATGTGAAGTTCCTATATCCAAGCCAGTGACTTCTCTGATCCTCAGAGAAACACCCATTTGTCTCACTGCGGGAGGAAACCCATTAAGAGGTCGGTCAAAAGCAGAGACTCTTTGTGGCCGATTTAAGAGATTTTTCAAGTGTAATTTGCACCAGTGCCCTCTAAATTATTTTATCGGGTCCACCTATCAGTAAAAATGTAATCATATAATGTACTTCCATTTATTTATGGGCAAATTATATACATATATGTCTCTCTCTTATATGTATAGACTGTTTACAAGCATTATGCTATTATTAGATTATAAAGACTATAACTCTAAAACATTGACATGGAAAGTTTTTAAAAGAAGTGTTGAGCTAAATATAAGTAAAGCTTCTATAACTTCCTACATCGTTTTGTGAATTCCCTGGGGTGACCACCCTCTACATGGGAGACCTTTTGATTTCAGCCATGTGCTTTTTTATCCTAGGCACTGACTTTGTAACCTCGCCCACCTAGAAGATGCGGTCCTGCTAAGTACGAACCGTCTCACCAGTCCACCAAGGAGGAGCACTTAGGCCAGCAGCAGGTTCAGTGCTAGGACCCAGGATGCAGTGGTCATTTGTGCACCTCCATCCAGGCACATCTATATCCATGGATCCAGTCCCTTTCTTATTTTCAGGGCAGGGAAGGGAGTTGTCCAAGGCCGCACAGAACTGGGACTGGAACCTAAGCCCCTGATCCCTGGGGCCATGCCCACTGACCGCCTTTCCAGGCCACCATTAGAGAGGCCAGGTTCTCAGGACGTAGGCGGGGCTGGACGGTGCTGGCCTTGGAATGCCAGCCCCAGCAGGACAGTCCCGCAGGGGACGAGAACTTACTGTGGGAGCTGATGTACTCAGGGGACTTGCCCGGTCCCAGGGGAAGGGCCTCTTCATAGTAGTCCTCAGGTGGGGGCCTGTTGGGAAGCGGTGGAGGCAGGTCGGCTGCCTGAAGGGGGACAAAGGAGGCGGATGAGACCTAGGCGGCCAGGAGAGCAGAGGGAACAGGCGGAGGGACGGGACGAGGCTGGGGCAGGGGGAGGCCGGAGCCCCTAGGAACCGTTTCTGAACGGAAGCCATAACTTGTGACAGAGTGGCAGAAGGGCAGAGGTGGGAAGCTGTTTGCCGACAGTTTGCTTGGTTCTCTCCTCCTTGCCCAACTTGTTGAAGCATCAGGGCTTCTCTGTAATATCTAAAAGCTGTGTGGGCTGCCACAGAGACGTAGTTAGTGCTTTTGATTAAGCACGTGCAGAATTATCAAAAGCTACAGTGACTTCTGCAATACTCTGGAACCCCATCTCTATTCAGGTGAGGAACAGCAGGACAAGTAAATGGAACGCGTGTGACTTAGCGAGGCAATAATGCCTTAGGCTCTGGGGCCAGGGAACCCCTGCTCTACCGGGATTAGGCTCCATCGCTTACTAGTGGTGGGACACTGACATGTCACTTACTCTAAGCCTCCGTTTCTTTTTTTTTAAATTTTTTTTTCAACGTTTATTTATTTTTGGGACAGAGAGAGACAGAGCATGAACGGGGGAGGGGCAGAGAGAGAGGGAGACACAGAATGGGAAACAGGCTCCAGGCTCTGAGCCATCAGCCCAGAGCCTGACGCGGGGCTCGAACTCACGGACCGCGAGATCGTGACCTGGCTGAAGTCGGACGCTTAACCGACTGCGCCACCCAGGCGCCCCTAAGCCTCCGTTTCTTTACCTGTAAAATGGGGACATTAATGGCGCCAACCTCCATCAGTTGTTGGGAGCGTGTAAAGGACGCCATAAGGGGTCAGCAATTGGTACCACTGGATGGTGATGATGATAGTGAATTAGGTAGTTGACAGATAATGTTTGATGTGATTATGGGCCCCTTCCCTCAATTCCTTGGACAAAGGCTGGGAACCCTAGACATGATCCAAACCTTTATTTTATAGGTGATAGGCTAAGAAAGGAAAGGTGATTTGCCCAAGACCACACAGCCGCAGGGGGGAGGGCGGAGGGCCATCAACTCCTGGTCCAGAGCATTCCCCACACTCCATGTTAATTATCACGGCAATCAGAAGTTGGGGTGGGGAACATCCCATGTGCTTAAAGGGAAGGGTCAGTTCACTGCATCATCCCTGCTCAGCATGGGCACAGTGAGCACATCATGAGCCAGTGAAATATTGTCACAGCCTGTTTCTCCCTCCCTTCCTCCCTCCCTTCCTTCCTTCCTTCCTTCCTTCCTTTTCCTTCTTTCCTTTCTTTCCTTTCTTTTCTTTCTTTTCTTTCTTTTCTTTCTTTTCTTTCTTTTCTTTTCTTTCTTTCTTTCTTTCTTTCTTTCTTTCTTTCTTTCTTTCTTTCTTTCTTTCTTTCTTTCTTTCTTTCTTTCTTTCTTTCTTTCTTTCTTTCTTTCCCTTCCTTCCTTCCTTCCTTCCTTCCTTCCTTCCTTCCTTCTTCTCTTTCTTTCTTTCTTTCTTTCTTTCTTTCTTTCTTTCTTTCTTTCATTATTTATTCATTTGAGAGAGAGCGGGGTGGAGAGAATCCTAAGCAGGCTCCACACCCAGCAAAGAGCCTGACTCAGAGCTTGATCTCACGACCCTGAGATCATGACCTGAGCCAAAATCAAGAGTCAGACGTTTAACCAACTGAGCACCCCCCTCCCGGTTTCTCCCCTCAGAACAGGGTCCTACACAGCCAGGAGGGTCCCAGGCGTTAGGGGGAAAGCTCCCCTCATCACTTCAGAGGGACAGAGGGCTGGAGGATGTGGGAACCCAGGCTGTGACTCACATGTCTCAGAGATGGGCTCTTGGCTGGCTCAGGGCTGGCTCCTTTGCAGGGCTCCCCGTCATCCTCTGGCAAGTCCCGGAGGTCACTCAGGTCACAGTCTACCAAGGGTCAGGCCATTGGGGCAGAGAAAGCCAAGGATGAGCACAGTAAAACGGGAAGAAGGCTGGATTTGGGGTCAGGAGGCCTCCACCCCCTCCTTTGTTAGTGACATTGGTTAAGTGACTTCATCACTCTGAGACCTGTTTGGCCTTCTCACCTGTAAACTGGTCCCAATAATCCATTGCCTTGTCTGTCTGCCAGGGTTATCAAGAGGGTCCAATAAGACCCTACCTGGTGTGGTGCTTTGGAGGGTTTCAAGAGTTGGGCAGTGAAGGCCAAGTGTCTTCCCTCAGTCTTTCAGTCCCTGAGACTTCCACCTGACCCGCAGCTCTCTCCATGCAGAATAGTGCTGTCCGCCCTCGGGAAGGAGCAGGGGGCCACCACGCCCTGCCGGCTGCCCATCGGGGCTGCTCCCATGCCCACGGTGCCACTCCGCTTTCTGCGGAGGCGCAGGGACCGCCCATCCCCGGGGCCATGCGGCCACTACCGGTGGACGTGAGTGGCAGGGGAGAGAGCACGGGACGCGCCACACCTTCTTTGGCCTGCACGTTCATCCCTGCCTCTCCTCCAATCCGGGGGATGATTCCCATGACCGTACAGACTCTGACTAGGCTTTCGGACCTGGCAGGGCCCAGGGAGGCCAAGCGACTTGCCCGAAGTGACTCAGCGTTGCAACGTCAGAGCCGGGCCCCCACCGCGTCCGAGGGCCCTTCCAGAGGCCGGGCAGGGGACTCACACGCGCAGGGGGAGGACGGCTCCCAGTGCAGGGGTGGGAGAGGGCCGCTCACCGAACTCCTCAAAGAGGGACTCCACGAAGCTGGGCCCGGAGTGGAGGTCCGCTGTGTTCACATACAGGCAGGAGACTTCTTTGGCTGTGAGAAGAGGGGTGAGTACGCCGGCAGTGAGGAGGGAGAGGGACCTGTCGTCTCTGAGGAGGGCCCGGTCTCCCCCTCCTGCTACTGGGACTCGAACCCACCGGGACGCGGCACCACGGACCGCGTATGCGCGCACCCTGCGTGAGTTCCCGGGTTCTCAAACTTTGTTCTTGTTTTTATTGTACCTGAGCATCTCCTTCTGCAAGTGAAACGGGGCCCAGGGCCCGGCACTGGGGCTGCTCTGGGGACTGCCAGGGGACAAACAGGGCCGAGCACAGTGGGCCAGCCACGGCCCCTCCCACAGTGCTGTGAGGGCTGCTGATGACATCGGCCTGTTCTGTCACCGGAAGTGAGGCTCCGAGAGTCACCCAGTGGTGACACCCCCCTCCCCCCACCCCACCCCCACCCCGCCGGTCACTCAGACCTCTCCAACACTGCGGGACACGGCACAGCTCGTCGGAGCTGACTCAGCTCTGGACTTCGCAGTGATCACCTGGCGGGGTGGACGAGGACGCCTGCCGCTGAGCACACGGCGTGCGATGTGCGTGCTGCGTGGTGTGTGTGGAGCGTGGGTTGCGTACGTGAGTTTCAGTGGCTCGAGGGCGGAGGCGTACGAAGAACACGCCCAGGGTAGAGAAGGAACAGAGTGGATGAGGACGTGGGCCACGCGGCGAGCCCTAGGCTTCCTCGTGCCGCAGGCCCTGGGGAGTTACTGAAGGTTCTTGAGGAGCTGGGGGCAGAGTGCCAAAGGCTGACCTGGGAGGGGCTGCAGGCTCTGCAGGATGGAGGCAACAGCCATCTTCTTCTCCAGGGCAGTGTCGCTCAGGTCCTCGTGGTCCAGGAGGCTGAGCAGTCCCGTGAGCTCGGGGAGCAGCTGCTCCAGCGCTGGGGAGGGAGCACAGCCAGGGCTCCGGGTCAGGATCCGGGTCCCGCCTCCGTCCACTAGAGGCCGGGGAAGCAGGGGCCGGAGAGCAGGGCGGGCGCCACAGGGAGACCTCAGAAGCCCTCCCACCGCTGTCCCAGCCGCTGGCCAGTCGCCTCCCGAGGGAGAGTCCTCAGTGAACCCTGATGCTCCTCTGGGCGCCCCCACTCTGCCTCAGACTCCATATGGCCTTGGCTTGAGGACTGACCCTCCCGAGGCCAGCCTGGCAACGCTGAGCCCTGAGCAGAGGCTCTCGGGCCTGTCTTTGCCCCAGCACGAGGGGCCTTCCTCACTGCAGCTCGAGGCTCAGTGCGGGTGCCAGGCCGGAGCTCCCGGCCATCCAGCACACAGGCAGGAAGGGAGCCTTCCTGTCTCATCAGTTCATACACTTCAATCTCTGGAACCTTCTGTTTCCGGTGCCTTGGTGGGAGCCAAACTAAACATTAACCCTTCCCACCCCAGGCCCTAAACTGTTATCACCAGTCCTTCTGTGTTCACCAGCGGTTTTCAAACTTGAGTGTATCTAGGAATGACCCGGGATCTCGTCAAAACGCGGAGGCTGGCTCAGGTCTGGGGCAGGGCCTGAGACCCTGCATGTCCAGGGAGCTCCCAGCTGCTGCTGACGCTGCTTCTTGAGAGCACACAGAGCTGCGACATTCGACAGCACACAGTCCTTTAAAGACCGGAGCATGCCACAGCCATGAGGTCATGATGTCTCCCTGTCCCAAACGGTAGCTTGGGACTTGTGCGCCTGAGACCAAAGACCAGCCTCGTTACAGTAGTAGAAACACTAAGAGCTAACCGTGCTGAGAGGCCTGGGTGCCTCAGCCGGTTAAGCATCTGACTCTTAATTTCGGCTCGGGTCGTGATCTTTCAGTTCGTGGGGTCGAGCCCCGAATCAGGCTCTGCGTGGACAGCCGGAGCCCGCTTAGGCTTTTCTCTCTCTCTCTCCCTCTCTCGATCTCTCCTTGCCCCTCCCCCGCTCACTCTCTCAAACTAAATAAATAAACATTAAAAAAATAAATAAAAATAAAAGCTAACCACGTTGAGCAGTTATCGTGAGCTGTGCTATGCCTGTCATACGTATAGTCTCATTTGACTCCACTATCAAGCATTTTATGGCTCAGAGTGGTTAAATAACTCCTCCAGGGTCACACAGCCGGTGGAGCCTCAACTGGACCTGGTTTCCTCACTCACTTTCAACCATGGCACTATACTGCCTTACAGTATTTTATACACGCCTGCCAACAAGTTTTGGGATAGGTCCCATGATCACACATGCTTTTTAGAGGAAGCAAACAAAGCTCAGAGAAGAGAAGTGACGTGCTTGCAAATACACAGACGCCTCAGGAGAACCAGGCCTTCGGCTACCGCCTCTGGACTCCCAGCCCCCCGTGTTTCTCTCCACTCTGGGCCCCCTAAGGAAACAACCAGACTCTGGCTTGCAGTTACAGGGGCTGGGTGTGTCAGAGGGGCTATGTAGCATTGTGCACAAGAGAACCGGCCCTGGGACCAGACTCCCGGGTTCAAGTTCAGGCTCCATCATTCCTTCATCGTGGGACCTTTGCAGATTACTTAGCCTGTGACTCAGTTTCCTCCTCTGTACACGGGGGTAAGAACAGCACCTGCCTTAAATGGCTGCTGTGACGATTAATCATGTCCTGCGTGAAAAGTGCTTTGCCCCATGCAGAGTAAATGCTCACCCCAAGTCAGCTGTGACTGCTGTCATTATAGTATTTATTTACCATGCTGGTCTGTGCTGGGAGCGTCCGCTCCCTCAGTAGGCCGTGAGGCTCTAGACGGTGTAGACTGTGCTAGGAATCTCAGCTTCCTTAGCATCTAGTCTGGGGCCTGCTCAGTGCCCGGGCTCCACGCACAGATGACCACATCAGGACCTTTTTTGTAAAAATAGAAATCTTACATACAGATAGCGGCAGTCGTTGGAAAAACGTGGCGTGGCCGTGGCAGTCTCTCTGTGGCATTCCCTCGTCACCTCAGATTTGTTGTAAATGAGCCGAAGGCGATCCTGTCACCTACACTGAGCTCCCTCCGCCGCGGGGCGCTGAGGCAGGGGCTTTGCGAGCACGGCACAGCTCATCTGCGAGCAGGTCGCGCTGGGATGCCCTCGAACTGAGGCCGAGGAAGGCTGTGGGATGGCTGCACGGCTTGAAAGAGGTGAAGCCAGGCTGATTTCTACGTTTGTGTGATTCCTGGAGCTGTTGAGTCGCACGACGGCAGGGGGCGCCGCTCGCCTCCACAGCCCAAGTGCTAGGGACCTGGAGGCCCTGCTTCCTCCAGGGCCCGAGCCCCTGCACTGCCGCCTGAGCGAGGCTTCTAGGTGGGTGGGTTTCCCTCCTGGAAGCAGGAAACCACTTAAAATCATAACATCATTTTAGGTAAATTTTAGGTGTTGCAAAGGAAATCTTTACAAATGGAGTCACAGACCTGTCTGGCACCTTCATCAGATATATTGAAAGTTAACTCGGTTCTAAAATATTTACTGAGCCTGATTACACGCCACTCGGGGGATTCGAAAATGAATAAGACGTTGTTCCAGTGGGTATGCTCCCTCTCCGTCTCTCTCTGTCTCTGTCTCTCTGTCTCTGTCTCTCTCTCTCTCACACACACACCTTATCGTATACCCACGTCATTACACACAAGGGAGGCCATGCTAAATGTTACCAGGAAGGCCCCGCAGGGGACCATGGCAGCTTTCTTGTGGCTCGAAGCCATGGTTCGTATTCGAAAATTCCCGACACGGCTCTGCTATCATGTGGGAATGTCAAGGCCATGGGGCACAGTGACTGTTTAGCCCTCTACCAGTGGCTCTGCAACTTTCTGGCCTGGGGACTCCTTTGCACAATCGAAAAGATTATCAAGGACTCCAAAGAACTTTGGTTCTATGTGGGTTATATCTGTCGATCTTGACTGTATTACAAATTAAGGCTGAGAACGTTTTAAACCAGGAGAATACACAGGCACACATCCCGTTAGCTTTCAGAGCTGTCGCGTCATCACATACGACACAACCTCTGGAAAACTCCACTGCAAACATGAAAGAATGGGAGTGAAAAAACACATGTGGGGGGGCGGGGGGCGCCTGGGTAGTTCAGTCAGTTGAGCGTCCAACTCTTGATTTCACCTCGGCTCATGATCTCACAGTCGTGAGATCAAGCCCCGCCCACACCCAGCTCTGTGCTAGGTGTGGAGCCTTCTCGAGACGCTCGCTCTCCTCCTTCTGGCCCTCCCCTGAGCACACGCACTCTCTCTCTCTAAAATAATAATAATAGTGGGGCACCTGGGTGGCTCAGTTTGTTAAATGTCTGATTTCGGCTCAGGTCATGAGCTCACGGTTCATGAGTTAGAGCCCCGCGTTGGGCTCTGTGCTGACAGCTCAGAGCCTTAGAGACTGCTTTGGATTCTGTGTCTCCCTCTCTCTCTATCTGCCCCTCCCCTGCTAGCCCTCTGTCTCTCTCTGTCTCTCTCAAAAATAAACATATAAATAAATAAATAAATAAATAAATAAATAAAGACATATGGGGTCTGAGTACTATATAAAAGTAGTTTTGACTGCGTGGACTCCCAGAAAGCATCTTGGGGCATTGCCCCCCCCCCCAACCACACCTTTCTGAGAATTGCCAGCCTTCAATGAATGACCTCGGATTTGCTAAGTCTGCCCCTCTTGTCCATTCCTCCCTCCCGTCCTTTGGGTCTGTCATTTTGTGCGGAGGTCCCAGAGATTCCTTCTCGCTGCTATCAGCCAGCGTCTGTTTGTGGCAGCATTCCTGCTTCGAAAGCCTCTTCGGCTTCCAATTTGAGGTTTGTTGCAGTTGTTTCTAAAGCGAGCACAATCAGGTTGTGAGTGAGTTCTCGGCATTGAAATGCGGGAGTTGCAGGACCCAAGCTTTGTTAACAACTTTTTGAATGTTTTTCCCTGCTTGTTAACGGGATTCCTAACATGGGACCCTGACTTCTAAAAATGTTCTTGTGTAATGGAGGCATGGTCACAAAAGTCCAGGCAGAGCAAAGGAGAAGGCGGGAACCAAGCAACGCTGGGAGAAGCAGATGGGTAGCAAGGAGACACCTCATGCCCGTAATGGCTTCTGCAGCCAGGAAGGGCCCGGCAGGCAGCAGGTGGTGGGTGGTCCAGGGAGAGTCACACAGCATTTCTCAAGTGCGGCTGGCTGGCGGAGGGAGCATGAGCCAGTGGGGAAAAGCTCAGCCTCCGGGCAGTGAACCTGCGAGAAGCCTCCCGAGGGCCGAGCAGTTACTGTGTGCAGGGCAGTTAGGGCGCACCCTCCCGTTTAATCCTCAGAAACTGCACAGGAGGGACATAGCGTTGCTAACTGCGCCCCATGGAGGGAGGGAGCGGAGGCTCAGAGAAGTGAGGCTGCCCAACCAGTAAGTGGTAAGGCCGGGCCTGGAGCCCAGGTCTGTCTGACTTCAAAGTGTGCACCTGTGCCTGAATCCTCCACCAGAAAACATGGGCTCAGGGCAGCGGAGGCTGGGCCTGGGGAAGGAAGGAGGCAAGTGGCCCCTCAGAGCCCTCCTGCCAAAGGGCTCTGGGCCAGGACGTCATCAGGCCTCCTGACCAGGGCTCCCCACACTGGCTGGGTGGAGACCCTTACTGTGGGGCTGAAATGCTTGCTCAGTGAGTCTCTCCACTGGGCCTGCAGGTGAATTTCAGAGCCCTCACTGTGAAGATCTCCAGGAAGAAAAACAAGCTCCTCAAAGCATATACCTGACTCAACCCCAGGATCTCAGCCCAGAGACACCTTTACACCCTCCTGGATACCGGGGAGCTTTCAGCCAGTGTTTGGCTCTGCGAAGACAGTACAGAACCGCCGAGAGAAGGTGTGTGCAAAGTGCCGAGAGCAGAGACGCGTCGATAGCCTGTATCCGAGAAGGTTCATCTCTCTCCTTATCTCG